GATACGAACTCACGCTCCATAGTGGAAGTAGCAGTCAATGTTTGCTTTGTGCTTCTCCAAGATACAACTCTGCCGGCTAGCATAAAAACATATCCTAAAGTTGATTTTAGCAAATCAATGCAGCCAGCGTAGTCTGAATCAGAGTAGCCAATCACCTTCAAGTTTTCAGTCCATTTGTACATAAGCATGTAGTCTTTTGTCCCTTAAAGGTACCTCATCACCTTCTTTGCAACTCTCTAGTAGTCCACACCTGGATTACTCTGATATCTTCCCAACATCCCAACAACAAATGCAATGTCAAGTCTTGTGTAGACCTGAGCATACATCAAGTTTCCAACAACATAAGCATAAGGAATGTTTTTCATTTGTTCCTGTTCAAGATCATTCTTTGGGCACTGGTTCAAATTAAACCTGTCACCCTTCACAATGGGAGCTATACTAGGTGAACAATCTTTCATCTAAAATCTCTCTAAAACCTTGTTGATATAGGCTTCTTGAGACAAACCTAAAGCACCTCAAAATCCGTGTCTATGTATTTTGATGCCAATGACATATGCCGCATCACCCATATCCTTCATGTCAAAATTTTCAGAGAGAAATTGTTTCACTTCATATAGCAAACCCTTATCATTGGTTGCAAGTAAAATGTCATCCACATATAGAATAAGGAAACAAATCTTACTCCCACTAACCTTCTGGTATATACATTGATCTATAATGTTCTCCACGAATCCAAATGAAGAGATAACATCATGAAACTTTAAATACCATTGACGAAGGCTTGTTTCAGTCCATATATAGATTTCTTGAGCTTGCACACCAGATGCTCACCCCGACTAGAAGAGAATCCTTCTGGTTGTTTCATGTAAACCTCTTCTTCTAGTTCTCCATTGAGAAATGCCGTTTTCACATCCATTTGTTACAATTCTAAGTCAAAATGTGCAACTAATGCTAGAATAATACGAAGAGAATCTTTTTTTGATACAGGAGAAAAGGTCTTCTTGTAGTCGATTCCTCCTTTTTTGAGTGAATCCTTTAGCAACGAGTCTTACTTTATATCTTGCAATGTTGCCCAATGAGTCTTTCTTTGTCTTATAGACCCATTTACATCCTATGGCTTTGACACCATCAGACAACTCAACAAGATCCCAGACTCCATTAGTTGCCATAGAATTCATCCCATCTTTCATGGCATCATACCATAAATTTGATTCTTTGCTATCCATGGCTTGTGAAAACGTTTCAGGATCATTTTCGGCTCCAATGTTGTAGTCAGACTCTTGTAGATACACGACATAATCACTAGGTATCGCTAATTTCCTTACTCTAGTAGATCTCCTTAAAGTTGTATCAACATTTTCCTGAGGATCATGTTGTGCAGCCGTTTGTTCAAGAATTTCTTGCAATTCTTAAACATCTTAATCTATTGGATTGTCATCAGTAGCTTGTGGAGCTTCAATAATTGGTTGTCCAACATATGTTTGAACTTGAGGGGTGTTGTGAATGACAATCAATCTGTCACTTGAAGTGGAAGGTTGAGTATTAATATGATTCCTTTCAGAAACAATGTCCTGAAATCGATCGCTCCCACTAATCAAGTCATTCTCAAGAAACTTTGCATTTCTTGATTCCATAATCCTAGTGTTGTGAGATGGACAATAAAATCCGTATCCTTTAAACCTTTCAGCATATCTAATAAAATACTCACTAATGTTCCTTGAGTCTAATTTTTTTTCATGTGGATTATAAACTCTTACTTCAGACAGACATCTCCAGACGCGCACATATCACAAACTCGGTTTCTAACTTTTGAATAACTCAAAATGCGTCATTAGAACAACCTTGGTCGGAACTCACACCCAAAGTCAACATGCCAAACTAAACATCACATTTTGTTGCCGATCTCTTTAAGCAATCATTATCCTGGCCTTTCGATGAAAAGTAGCAGCATTTTCTTCATCAATAAGACCATTCTTTGACTTTCTATGCTATCGCCTATCTGCTTATGATTGATAAGACGATATAAAATAGGTCTCTTTATCGACCTCAACATCACCTTTATTTGACAACTTTCCCAAGTAAATCAATATACAGCTCCAAACGCAGTTAGTTGGATTTCTCTTTTTCTTCCGTATTTGTTTCAGGCAGAGACATTGATTTAAGTTTTATCCCTAATTTGGTCAAGTAGTCTTGGTCATCTTTACTTTTGTAAACATTAATTTCATAAATATCTTTACAATATTTTAAAATACTCTTAATTTTTTAAAATATGATATATAAAAAACATATTAAAATATCTCTTTTATCTACATCAGTCTATAAAGTTAATGAAGTTACTGACATGACACTGTATTAAAATATTAAAAATGCTCTGAATATATCTAAAACAAAACGTGTAGCAAATAGAAAAAGAATTAAGTCCATTTATTTTACTAATTTAATAGAATTTAAATTTTATTATAATAAAAAAATTTTATAAATAATCATATTTAATATTTTTATTATAGTAAAAAAATTTCATATAGAGTTATATCTTAACTCAAATTAAAAACTCAAATCAACGAACTAAACGAACCATAAAAAAATAAATTGACTAAACGTTTAATTGGAGAATTCAAATCACGTGATTCAAACTATTTTTTATTTATGTAAATTTTTTGTGAGAAAAAATACTGTAATGAACCACGAATCATAATTTGAATCAGGAAACGAATTTCTCTACCAAACATGCTCTAAAACTAAACATTTCTAGATCCATTCTGATCAAATCAAGAAGTCAATTTCCATAAAATAAAATAAAAATCAAGAAATTAGATCAATAAAAAACCAAATTTATTCTTGCTTCTTCAAAAGCTGTCTGCATTCAAAGAAAAAAAAAATCAAACGATTTCCTCTCAAAAATCAGATCGAAGGGAGAGATCTGAAAATTTTCCAAAATCTTCAAGCTTCAAACCATTTCCTCCTCCGGTACCACCACCGCTGAACCCACGCCATTGCTGACTTTGAGTTTTCCCTACAGATCGCGTGAAAGGATGCGTGAACGAGGTGAACGCGACAGGTCCTGGCACCACTCACGAAGGTCGAAGTGAGTTCAACGAATCCCCCAAACCAAAATGTTTTTCTCTGTCATCATCAACATCAATAAAGCTTCTTCCTTGCCATTTTACAACTAGTCCTCCTTCGCTTTCTTCTTCCTTTCCTTCTCTAAATTTGGATCACTTTTAGAATCCAAGTTCGAATAAGAACCATCGCTGCTTGGGTTGCGGGTGTGGGTCTCGCAACCCACTTCTCCTACCGTGGATGGCAATAGGGTGGGAGCAGATCTCGTTGGTGGATGCAAGCGATTAGTGAAGAAGCTTGGCGACGATTTCTGGCGGCGCCGGAGATGAGAAGGGAGAAGGGGGGACCGAGCACTGGAGGTGGGGACTCGATGGGCGCTGATGAATTTCTCAGATCCGAGAGATTTTTTTTATTTTGTTTTTAAATATTATGTTATTCTTAGAAAACAATTTCAATATTTTAGTAATTAATTCATTTGTTCAGTGATTAATTTATTTTTTCAGCTTAATTAAGTTTTAATATTTTAATATAGTGACACGTCAATAACTCGTTAAAATTACATAATTAGACAAAATGAGCATTTTAATATATTTTTTATATATTAAGAAATATTTTGAATTATTTTAAAAAATTAAATGACATTTTAAAATATAATATATATTTTAGAGGACATTTTTAAAAATAATCTTTTTCGTATCGGCGTTGGAGGACATAACTATTTTCTTCACAAAACTTTTCCATTATGTTTTCAAGATTATGCCTAGAGGCCCTCATTGCTAACCATGTACATTGTCCCTAGAGCCTCTGGGATTGAGTGCAAAAAAAGATAGGTTTCCTGAATCCCATAATTAAAGCTGTGATTACACACCCCTTGTCTTTTTAGATTTTTTTGGATTTTTTTGGTAAGTACTAAAAAAATGAATTATTAAAAAGATTGTTTAAACGATTAGATGTATATACAAATTGTTTATTTTGTATATTTTTAATGACTATTTTGTATGAACATCTACTAAATTTTTTGAATTTAACAATTTAATTCCTAAATTTTTTTCCTGACAATTAATCCCTAGAACTTTTAATTCTTGTTGTTCAAATTCGTTAAAGTTTTGATAGTTTTTCTGTGTCAAACTTACAAGTGACAGTCTAAAAAGTGCATTGATGATATTTTTGTTTCGTATTAATAAAATTTCATGTTAAAATTAGATTAAAAATTGTCATAATTAAATTAAGTAAAAGTTTTTAAATGTATTTGTATTGAAACTAAAAAAAAAAAAAAATGGATATCAATGTCCTTATTAAGCTATCATTTGCAAGTTAGAGTGCTAAATGGGTGACGACACGACAACACGATTAGAAAATGACACGAATTTCGCAGGATAGAGTTGAGAAAAATGAGGTTCGGATCAGAATTAAGTCCACTTAAAATTGACACAAAAAACACAGGTCAATTTTAGGTTAGACCCACCTAATCCGAACATGACATGAAACTCGTAAAAAATTAAAAAATACATTTTTTATTACATATTTTTTATTTTATTATTAACTTGTGATATCATGATAGTTAAACTCAAAATCTTATACTATTATTTGCTTAATTTCAATGGATGTTATTGTATTTTAGTGTGTTATGAATTTTAAGTTATTTTTAATATGTAAAAAACTAAATAAAAGTATATAATTTTCATGTCAATTTCGAGTTCACAGGTCAATTTCGTGTCACATGTCATTTTCGTGTCGTGTCGTATCAACCTGTAAAGTGATCGTGTTATGTTCGTATTGCGATTTTTAAAAAATTTTGTGTCACAGATCGTGTTCGGATTGACTGTGAACTTAAAAAGAAACGATCAAAACACGACACGTGACGCGAATTAAAAATCTTCAAAATTTTAACAAATTTGAGCAACACGGGTTGAAAGTGCCAAAAATTATAAGTTCGGGGTGTTGATTGCGAAAAAAAAGTTTTAAGGACTAAATTACCAAATTCAAAAAGTTCAGGGGATGTTCATACAAAATAGCATTAAACTCGCCTAGATAGACCCTCTTTTTTTTTTTTTTTTTTGGTGAAGATGTCTAATAATATTTATTTTTCGGAGAAGTTTACAAATTGACTGATGTAACATGTTACTTACGTATTCTACCTTGTAATTTATGTTCCAGAATCTCCTTCAAAAGCTTCTTGAATCTATCTTCAGTGAATCCCCGGTAAGGAACTAGTTGTAGTTCACAACAAAGTGCCAAAACTTCAAAAGGATCCAGGTGCTTGAAAATGTCTGGGTCTCTATCATAATCCTGGGAACAAAAAATTTGAGATGAAGACGAGAAATCAAATAAGATAGCAATAAAATCGTCCTTAATTTAAACTCGAGAGAAAAAAAATTTGGCACCAAAATTAATTTACAAACACATATACATATATCACCTTTTCTGTTACTACAACGACGGGCTTCGAACAAAATTTCTTCTCCAGCTCACCAAGTCTCTTTCTGATCATCTCCATATCCTGGATCGAAGCAAAGATTGACCATGCATTAGCATCAGCATCAGCACCAGCACAAGGACAAGAATTTTGCATCTAAGTACCATGGATTTGAACATGTGATGATCACTGAATTCAAGTTGATCAACATAAACTGCACCCAACTGCAGCAAGTTATGATTAGAATTAGAGTACAAATAAGAGGGGAAAAAAAACAAAAAACAAAAACAAAACCAAAACAACAACAACAACAACAACAATAACAACAATAAAGGGCCTAAAAATAAACGAATACATAGAACAAAAACAAGTACATACCTTCTTCATTCCCTGCACAAACGCGTTTGCAGAACCAATGGCAGAAACACATAACACAAAAGTGTTACACAAGGCTTCCAAAGGTTTCTTTGAGTTGAAATTTCTCACGTCAAAGAAATGTGAAGGAGCCATTCTAGTGAAGAAAATAGGCAGAGATTCTTTGGTTTCCCGTATCATCAACTCAATGTCTTTGAGATTTTGCTCTGGAATCTGTCAGTTTGCGCAGTATAACTTTCTTGTCAAGTATTTTGTGAACTAATAAACATGATGGACGTGAAGGGGAAAGGAAAAGAAAAGATTATGTTAGTTTCAGCATACTAAGTCTGCGTGATGGAGTATAACAATATCTGCCCGTCGAAGTGCATTTAGAGGTTCTCTTAAAGGTCCACGAGGAAGTAAATGACCATTCCCCCACAACGTTAATCCATTTACCATTACAATCTCAATGTCCCTCTGCAAGCTCCAGTGCTATCATTCATACAATCATAACATAAATTATCAGGATAACATGATTTTATAAAACTGAAAAAACCATCTGTCCCTAGTAAGTGAAAATCGACTCTTGAACAGAACTTAGTAGGGGAATACATGCATATGAGACTTGCAGCCCATAAATGTCCATGAGTACCACATTACCTGCATTCCGTCATCCAAAATCGCAGCACCAATTTTTTCTGAGCAACAATGCATAGATCTTTTCGTGTCAATGAATAGTCTATTGGAGAATGTACTAGGATCAAGATAACCATATTTTTCAATGAAAGAAGCAGCAGTAGCTGCCCTATTTGCACCCACTCCAATCTTCACAGATCTTCCTAGAAGATGTCTTTGGAGCATTTTAGCTTCATCTCCACCAGCATAGCCCTACAAATAGTTACATTCTTTGTAATGCACACCAAAGTATATCAAGTTCAGACTAAAGTTAGAAACACACACACAACAAACCAATTTCAAAAATAAGAAAACAAAAGCGAAAGACAAAAACTACCCTACTAAGAATGAGAGGTGAGATTTCAGAATCAGCTAGCCAGCGTGCAATGAATTCAACCGTAGGAGTTTTCCCGTTGCCTCCCCATGTCAAATTCCCAACGCTTATCACCGGCACTAGCAACCTTTTAAATACAAAGGAAACGAATCATTTGCTTGTCTAGAATGCAGGAAAAAGGAAAATTAAAAGAACCCAATTCTCAAACTAATAATTTAATTTAGTTGAGGTTCAAGTTTTTAGCCATAACCAATATCAAGCTTAACGAGCGACATCCCATCCACCCTAACAGAAGGATGAAAATCAAAATTAAATTTGAAAGTATATAATGATCTCCACTATACTAAACTTTGAGCATACTACTAACAGTCCAGCTGAAAATTTCAGCTTTGAGAAACCAAATGAACCTGAAAACATAATGTTTAACGTTTTCTTTCGTTTTCCAAGCATCCGAACGGAGTTCAAAGAATCCAATTCACAAACTAGCATTTATTTAAGGTTCAAAATTTGTAGCCACTAACCAATACGTAACTGACCTCTCATAATACCTAACAAAGAGAAACAAAAAACCAAATTTTGAAATATAAAGCCTGCACTAGAAAAATTAAGCTCCAATAAACTATAATTAGTGCAACTATAATTATAGCAGCTGAAACTATAATTAGAGCAATGCTTGACGTTTTCTTTCAGTTTCTAAGCATCCAAACGGAAAAAAAGGAATCCAATTCTCAAACTAGCATTTAATTTACTTAAGTTCAGCTGTGCAATTACCGGACACTACTTTGCTTAAAAAAAGTTCAGTTTCCATAAATTAATCGATGAGAAAACATAATACTCCGAAGTTTTCTTTCATTTTCTAGGCATCCAAACAGAGAAACACGAATCCGATTCTCAACTAGCATTAATCAATTAAAGTTCAAATTTTTAGCGAGCAGGCAATACTGAACTTCACGCTCAACATCTCAGAAACCTAGCGAAGAACAAAAATCACTTCCGAAGTAAAATCAAGCTCAGATGGACTAAAATTAGAGCACAGAGCTTAAACTCCAGCTGAAAATTTTAGCTTTGATAAGCCAATCCTCGCGAAAACACAACGTTCTGAAGCTTTCTTTCACTTTCTAGGCATCCAAACGTAGATAAAAGAAGGTGGAGATCGGAGAGCGAATCGATCAAACCTGTGGCGGCGCAAGAGGCCGAAGCGGTAGAGAGAGTGGCGCAGAGAGAGAGCGAGGTTGTAGAGAGAGGAGGCGAGAGAGAGGACAGGGACGAGTGAGCGATGGAGAGGAGATAGCTTACGGTGGTCGTGAGCGTAGGCGATCTCGTTTACCGCTTTTCTCAGTTTCTCCATTGCCGACCGAAATGGAGAGAGAGAGAGACAGAGAGAAAAGGAAAGAGACTGTGGACAATCAGACGACAAAATGACTGCCGAGGTTGGGTCAGGATACGGTGTCTGCTGGTGCATGTTTTACCAAAATGTTCGAGGGCCAACCTAACTTTTGAACAATGATTAGTAATCTGGTAACCACAACAGGCTCAAAATTCATACGAAATTAATAAATTTAAATTTATTATAAATAAGTTTAGATCAAAATTAAGTTAAATTCATGAAACACAATTAAATTACATGTTGTTTTCAGGTTGACTCGTCAACTTATAATTAACTCGCCGTAATCATTTATTAAACGTGTCATATTTAGGTAACATGAATACACAATATAATTATAACCTGTTTACTTTTGTTTGCTGGTCAGGTGGAGAAACATGTTGAAAAATAAATTGAGAAATAGTTTGACAAGACCTTATTATTACTTATTTTATAAACGGATTATTATAAATAGGTTGACACGACACTATTATGACATATTTAATAAACATGTTAGTCGTGTCAATCTATCAATATATAAGTCGTATTTAGATTTTGTATTTCGACACAAATAATAAACGAGTCGTATTCGTGTCAGATCTTACCGTGTCAACTGAAGGGATCAACACGACACGAACACAACACAGCAACTCGGATTGCCAGCCATACTTTGAACGTGGGAACGATAATTTACATACTTTCAGAATTTACTATTGTGTTCTCTTATTAACATTTCCTTTTATGTCTCTTTGACAATATCATGAAAACATAAAAATGATGTGTTCTTTTTTATATCCTTCTAATAATATCATAATAAGCTAACTAAAGTATCACGTCAATTAAAATTTTTTATTATGTCAATAAAAAACTCGTGACAATTAAAATCATTTTAACTGACATGACATAATCTTATTTAAGAACACAAAAGAGAACATATTAAAAAAAAACATCTGAGTAATATTATTTCTAGTCATTACTGCATATCAAATTCCGTTTTACAATGAGTTATAAATGTGTAGTACGTTTTAAATGTGGGAAGACAATATGCAAATTTTTTAGGTTGAGAATGCAAATTTATTCCCAATCATATTACCCCAATAAGTTTCTCGATAATATGATTTCTATTGATTATCGCAAATTAAATGCCCTGTTTGAGTTTTAAGTTTTAGAACAAGTTCTAATCAATCAAATTGTCTCGAATTAGTCATTTTGTTCAACCAGACTGTTAGAGAAAAAAGAAAACCACGTGTCTTTTTTATTATTAGTTGTGTCCTAACATGTAAAATAACATATTAAGCTCCACTAAACCGCACATGGTCCTCACATACATGTTTATCATATTAGATTATCATGTTAGGACAAAAATAATAGGTCCGTTATAATTTCATGATAATGCGTTTCGATAGAAGCCGTAAAGAAGCCGTCTTTAGCACTTGAAAAAATATAGGGGAATAGAACTTTGGTTGATATAGTGATAAAGACTGTTCTAATTGACAAAATTAGGGATGCGTTTGGAACTCATTTCAAAGTGATTTTGTTTTTTGTATGAAAATAAAAATGAAAACGTTTTCAATCTCAGACAGAAATCATTTTTAAAAATGTGTTTGGTAGTTTTATCAAAAGATTATTTTCAGTGTAATTTGTGGAAATGGAATAATAGAGGCAAAAATGATATTTAGACAAAACACATGAGTGTTTTGATATTTTCCCTTAATAAAATAAAACATTATGTGTTAGTAAAATAAAGCATATTATTAAATTGAAGTTAGAACAGTAAGGACTGTAATAAACAAAAACTAAAATGGGATAAAATCTGTAGAGATTTTGACGTTAATTGTGATTGATTACTCCGTGTAATTATGATACACGTGTGAACATATCATGTAGATTGATTGTGTGATTAATCACAGGAATGATTTGTGGGTACTAGCTACAATATAATTGTGTACATAGTCTGTGTAAAGTAGGCTTCGTTCATTTCACCGATTTAAGTTTTTAGTTTTAGGTTTCTACAGTAAAAAGCTCTTAGAAAATGTCACATCAAACTTTTTATGCTACAGTGAAAAGCTCTCAGAAAATGTCACATCTCAATTCGAATTAAAAACTCGAATCCCGAACGATAATTGAATTGGGAATATATTCATCCTTATCTTTCACGTTGGTATCACAACCATTTGATAATCTTTTCATAAACTGATTCTAAATCAACTTTCTTTGGTTTTGATACTAAAGATAATCCACATTTTAGTACATCATTTTCATAAGGTAAATATAAAACGAACTCACTTGATGTTGTCATAGTGTTACTCTTTTTCTTCTTTTTCTTCTACTTTTTGCAGTCCTAAATTTTATTGGACAATCCATGTTTTATAGCAACTTCATAATTTTTCATAAACCGATTATCTAATTAATTTTTTTTATTATTCTGATACTAAAAACAACCATGTTTTAGAACATCCTTTTCATAAGCCAAACATGTAACGAATTCACTTGAGCTTGTCATAATGTTGTTGTTCTTTTCTTTTTTTTCTTCTTCTTCTCTTTAGAGGCCAAATTTTGTTGCACAACTTGTAAAAAAATCTTCTCGTGCAGGTTTTCATGACTGGACTTTTTTGAGAGGTTGTTTTTAAACTTTTTTAAGCCTCTTAAACTTGTCCATTATATTTGAGAAATTAAAGCTCTTGGAAAACGTGGTTTTGAATCATGTTAAATATCCATTTTGAGGCTTAATTTTGAGTGGGTCCCACTTGGTCATCGAGGAAGATCAAAGTGAAATTGAATTCTCCTTTGTGAGATCTTCGAAATTGTATATAAAATGCTCAAAATGACATTCGGGTGAATGAGAAATTGGTGCACAAAGTATTTAGAAGCACCCGAGAAGCTTTCTCACGCGCAAGGGGGTAGGGGGTGCGAATCATCGGGCTGATGGGTTAGGAGCCCAATGTGCGTACTCGCACGACGTGGGCGACGCAAGTGTCGGTCCATTGGGCTTGTCCTTGCTCAAGCTTCGTTTTGCAAATTTTTTTACTTGCAATTTCTAACTAAAATCCGAATTTTATTGTTATTAAATCTGGAATTTAAAGAACCTTCAGTTTTGCATTACCAAAATGTAAATGGTCTTGTAAATCATGCATTAGTGCTGTTTTGGTGCATGATTAATGGGCAGATGTGGACATGCTAATGGAGCAGGTTCATCCGAATTCCAAGATGTTGTAACCTCAGAATTCAATCCTATTTATTGTGGGAATAAATTGGATTAATTACCTTTATTTTGACTTGTAACTCTCCCATTCTACAGCCTATAAATAGAGGCTTCCTTCAGCCATTTGAAACACACAAAAAAACAAGTTTCAGAAGCATTTCTTTCCTTCTCCTTTCGTGTGTTTGCCTGCTCTTAGAAAGTCTAGGTGCTTCGGTGATAGAGTGAAGGCATAATTAGAGTTCGCTGGAGTAGTTCTTTTGTGTTGATGTTCTGCTCGTTGTTGTTGTATACTAGGAGACAAACGTTCATTAAAATCTCAAGTACTCGTGGAGACTGCAAATCTATTTTAAAGAAACTGTGAGTGTCACAGGCCTCGACGTTCTTCTGCTTCCAAATTTCCGTTCAGTATAAGGTTGATTTCGTTTGTAATATTTTATTTCCTCATTGTAATTTCCTGCTAATTTTAATATACTGTTCGTTTCTATTATGTGATACTTTTGTAACAATCTGAAAACAGATCCATTTCCATAGAGGCGGACAGTTTGCAGAGAAATAGAAGAGAATGTGGTTTTGTTGCTTACCGGATTCTTAGAATTGACATCATTTTTGTGTTTCTGACCATTGCTTGTATGTTTACCTATTTCTAAACTGTCATTTCTCCTTGTTGCATGGCATTACATATATATATATATATATATATATATATATATTTGCTATGATCTGCAAGTTTTGTTTGGTCAGTTTAATGTTTGGACGTTTTGGTCATTAATCTTGGCTTTTATTGTATACGTTTGTTTTATGTACATTTCACTATAATTAATTTGCATGCATTCGTTTCCTTTATATTAATTATAAACATTATTGCTTTGGTTTATCTTTGTAGTCTTTATTGTATTAGTTATATACAATTTGAAGATTTTTCTTCACGTAATTGTATTATTCTAATTTTAAGAGTTTTTCTAGTTCGACCAATTTAAATTGGCATTTTCATTTTACTTTGGCAACAACGTTGGATCTGAAATTATAGTGTTGGCTGGTTTTAATTAACAATTTTTTAGGAAAAATATTTGAGTTTCTATTGGACTTTTTTCAGAAAAATTGCCACGGACTCAAACTCTAATTCTATGGACTAAAACTTTGAATCTCGCGAGATTCTTGAATGAAGAAGCTCTTAAGCTCAAAGAAGATGAGCAGGATGTTCAAGTCATAAGGGCGGCTGAGACCTAGAAATACTCTGAATTCTTGTGTCGGAACTATGTGATGAATAATCTGACTGATTCGTTGTACAATGTGTACAGCACGAAAAAAGACGGCTAAGGAGCAGTGGGAGTCACTTGACCATAAGTATAAGAGCAAGGATGTCGATGCCAAGAAATTTATTGTGGGCCATTCCTAGATTTTAAAATGGTAAGACTCCAAAATGGTAATCAGTCAAGTACAAGATTTTCAAGTGATCTTACATGAGATTCATGTTGAGGGCATGGTGCTAAGTAAATCCTTCCAAGTAGCTTGTATCATTGAGAAGCTACCCCCGCATGGAAAGATTTCAAGAATTACCTTAAGCATAAGCGGAAGGAGATGAGCAATGAAGACCTAATTGTTAGTCTTCATACCGAAGAAGACAACAAAATTTGAGGTTGGTATCAGAATCATATAGAGACGTTTAGTAAGAGAATTCATACCATGATTTGAATCATGGTTCATGGTTTGCTACAGTGTTTTCTCTCATAAAAAATACACATAAATTGAAAATAATTATAATCTCATGATTCTAATCCATGAACCAAACGTAAACTAATGGTCTTAATCAACCTTTTTTGAATTTGATACCAAAGACAATCCACATTCTAGAACATCTTTTTTCATAAGACAAACATGGA